TTTGATACCCGTTTCATGCATTGTGCATACGTGAATGTGAGAAACAAGTCACATATCACGGTGTGAATGCGAAAACGTCACATATTACTGTTTGGCAGTCACATATGCATTCTTGACACCACAACGTCACATGTTATTTATGTAATTGAGTTCAGAATGCATATGTGTGTAGGAAAAGCAAATCACATATCACGATTTCGATGGGAAAAGCAGGTCACGCATTACTGTTTGGCTCCACACGTCATGGCATGTTTTAAAATTATTTCAAAAGACAAATGTGGATGTGCAAAATATGTCACAGATTATTGTTGTATGTGTAAAATAGGTTATATATCACATATGAGGGTGAGTTTGTGACAAGCGGGTCACATATATTTGCTTTAAAACCCAGGTCACAGATCAAAAAAGAATAAACATTTGCGACAATGTGGTCACATAGATTTTATTGCGTAATTCACACTGCACTTTTAAAACACCAAATCACATTTACACAATTTAAAATGTGACATTCAATGATGATTTCGACGTTTGTTATTCAAATAAATGTTTCTAATAAATAATGTCATATAACATTCGTTTTATCTGTATCCTCTATTGTTTTCCGATTACAGTGTGTTATTTTCCCTATATTTTCAATGCAATGGCATCAAACTTCAGCATCTCTTACGGTTGTGACCATGTCCACCACAACGACCACATTTCACTTTTGGTTTTTCTTCTCTAGATGATCTCTTCCTCTTCTCAGTAGATTTTTCAGAACTTAGTTTCTGGTTTGGAGCTAAGACAACTTCGTATTGCACTTCATTAGGCACTTTCCATTCGTCTGGATTTCTAACAGGATATATTGAATCTTCATACACACTCACATATGCATTTCTTGTATAATAATAAGAACAGTAAGCATATGGATCCCTCTTTGTATTTGCAATTACGGCTAAGGCGTGTGGGCATGGTAACAAATCGACATGTAGCATCCTACACGTGCACGTACGTTGTTCAATACCAACAAAAAAGGTGGACTTTTCATCGCTGACAGAAAACTCTGACTGGTTGGAAAGAGATACCTACGAGAAAGCAAAATCAAGATTGGCAGTTGTCAATACAAGTAGCAAAATATGAAATCCCAGTCCAAAGATAGGTGTCACATACATGTGTATTTTGGCCTCTGATGGGAGGTTCAAGTTACAGGCATTTAATTGTAGGTCACTACATTCGGTTCAGGTTACATATATAACAGCAGACACATGCATATCCTATCACATTCTACATTCAAGGTCAAGACATGTGTATTTGGCCACAAATGCTAGGTTTAGGTCACGGGCACTTATGTCGAGGACAAAACGCATTCTGTCTAGGTCAAATATGCAAGATTCATGCTCACACACATATGTTGTCACAGTGTACAATCCAGATCACATGCAGTTAGATAGGTCACATTTATAAATATCAGCAGTAAAGTAAATAGGCTATCCTCAAGTTCCTTAACTCTACACTCATTCTCCTCATCGCATTCTCATACTTGGTGGACAACGTCGTGAACGTTCCATACGCGTCGTTTCTATGTTTACAGAACTAATTTTGTACAGTCTGTCGCAATGACTCCAGCAAGGATACAATTGGGTAATTTTTCCCTGCCTTGGTGACCGCGTTGACTGATTCTACAATGATTGATGTCATTGTAGAATATGTGTTTGCCGACATATGGATTCGTTACCACTTTTCAGGTCCAACATCAGCCTGCAAAATGTACACTATAAATTAATACCATATAATTGACACGTGACCATTTCAATGTATGTGACAATGTATTCGGATGCCATTCAATACCGGTATCCCCGAATCTTCTCGTTCATTGTGTCCAAACGTCTCATGTTATATTCAAATTCTTCTAACGTGTAAGTGCGGACAGTTAAGTTGAAAGCATGTGTAATATTCTGTCCTGATTTTCCATAATATGACTTCAAATTTTGCAACAAATGATACGAGCAAATACCATGATATGTTCCCAATAAACATGTTCTATTGCATTCTTTATACTGGTATGACAATTTGACACAAAACACATTCCTTCTCTGTGACCATATGCCTTTTTCAGGTTTTCCAAAAACCATTTCCAATATTTGTCATTCTCATTATCCCCAATTCCAAAAGTAAGAACAAATATTCTGTTATTTGCATCCTGTGTACATGCTGTGAAAATGGTACCACCGTAGAGACCATTCAAGTACGTACCGTCGACCACGATTACAGGCCGACAATGCTTCCATCCACGTATTGATGCACCAAGTGCCATAAAACAATACTTGAATCTATTGTGATTATCAACCTCCAACTCTGTGATCGTACCAGGATTCTTTTGTCAGAGCACGTGGAAGAAGCTTGGTATCTTACCAAATGAATCGATTGGATCATCCCTAACCATCTTTAAGGTATGCTCGCAGGATCTCCATGCTTTCAAATAATTCAAATAAATACCATAAGTCAGCAACATATCACTGCATATATCATTCGGTGTGTATATGGTACTGGATGATATGTACTTATACCACAACTGCAGTTGATACTTGCATGTGTGACCCCAACACGACATTCGATGCACATGTGTGACTACCCACCTTTCGAATCTTAAATAGATTTGTTTTACTCCATTTTGATGATCTGCAAATCCAGCTACAACCTTCTTGTGAACACCTCACAACATATTTTTTCTTGTCAGACCGTTCAGCCATAAACTCAAACATGTTCTGTATGGCAAAAAAGGATAGGCTCGATTTTAAAATATCTTTATCCAAAAAACCCTTCCTTCTTCGACCTCTTTAGCATCTTCAGCAGACATAACTGTGATTTCATTGTCCCAAATGTGACCTGATTTTTCAATTGCTGCTCTGCATATGTTTGTCGCCATATCCTGCAATGTACAAAGTTCACCACTAGGAGAAGGGTTAATCGGAACCGTGTTAGAAGATTTTTCTACTTCTGCAGCAGTCACATCAACAATTACTGGGTATTTAGCAGGATCGTTGTCCATTTCCTTCAACAGAAGGTTTGATTGCACATTTCTGTCATTTTTTTAACTAGAACGGAGGCAAATTATCGTTCAGTACATACGTCAACGACACTACCACCCTCGTCAGATCCAAACTAAACTCTGTCATAACCGTGTCAACAAGGTTTACATAATTACATCTACGGTCTACCAATGTCAATGATGATTGAGCTCCATGTAACAGACATACATGCAAATACACCATATCTGCGACTTCAAATTCATCAGTTAATAAAGGCATTCATGATTTAAAATGAAGGCACATCTCCAAACAAGTCACATATGACAGAAAATTGAAGGACAAGGTTTACATAATTGCATCTACGGTCTACCAAAGCCAATGACGATTGAGCTCCATGCAACAGACATTCATGCAAATACACCATTTCTGCGACTTCAAATTCATCAATGAACTAAAATGAAGACACATTTCCAAACAAGTCATATATGACAAAAAATTGAAGGTGACATTGGGAGCCGCACAAGTCACGTTCATCTACAATCATTATCTATTTCATCACACAGCATGATCTGAGTAGTCACATGTGCAGATTACACCTTCACAGTTGGTAATGTGACATTATGGTCACATTCTCAACCAAGTCACATATTACCAAAATTAATGTCCTGCCAATTCACTTACCAAACTTCTAACAATACTCAATTTGCAATGTGATGTAATGTGATGATGAAAGTCACTTACTATACTTTTTAATATTTGATCACATCTCGTTATTTGCAAGCTCTTAGATGTTCATTTATGGTCACATATACGCATATTAAGGTCACATTTCAATATTTGTAGGTCACGGGTCGATCATGCATGAAAAGAGATAGCTATTATCATGTTACAGTTCTTATGTAGTCGCAGTTTGGTCACATTTTGTTATTTACTAGTTCTTAGTTATTCAGTCATGGTCATATACGTATTTCACTTCAAATATCAATAAAAGCAGGTTACTGGACAATCACGCATGGTAAATAATATCTAATAGCATGTCACAGAAAATTAACTCAGTAAATCTGAGTACGCACATTAGTCACATATAAGGATATGATGTAATAAGTGGAATAGAATTTATGCGACGTGTGACTTACGTTTTTGCTCGGACACAATCAACACTTATGTGACCAAAACTGGATTTTAGTTGCTGAAAATGTGAATGTACATTGATAGCACTGAACAAATAATCGAATTAATTACCTGGATTGTATTATCTTGTGGGAATTCGGATTATATTTCATCAAATTGATTTCCAAATCTGTGACGCGAAGCATGAATGTGGGTGAAATCGTTCAATTTGTTATCAAAATCAATGAAAAACGTTACCTATTTGTGATCTCCGACAGCGGAAATAAGTGATAGTGCCGTGAAATTATGAATTCCAGACCTCAATTTAATTTTTTGGGAATTTCGAATGTGTAGTGAATTCTGAATTTTTAAACTATACATCTGGCTTTTGAATTAGGGTAAAGTATACACCCGAATCATGATTTTTTTCCCTTATTATTTTTCTTTTGCGTTAGGCCCATTTACCCATTAATACCGAAATTGATCAAATAAGTAAATTGATTATTTTTAACATTTACAAATTAGGAAGAGCTATTCAAGTAGACTAGTAGAACATGTTTGGTTAATTCTAAAAAAAATTAAAAGATTTTAAGTAACTTTGTATATTGTAAATATATTAACTCTCACCAAATGTCAAAATAAGTAATTTACCTACCAACTTCATCAATCAAAAAAATAAAACTGATGAAACTTTTAAAGCTTAGCCATTAATTAATAAGTAAAATAGCAAAAGTATCGCACATACTTTCCAGCATGGTAAAAGCATGTAGGCAAAAGCATAATGCTTCAAAAATGAAGAAATAACTGGATTTGCCTATCCAAGAAATAATGGGTGTAAATTCCTCCAATATGTGGACACCCATAAAAGAATAAGACACTGCCTTATTTGGCGCTAAAAACGCGAATCATTCCGATACCTACGGCAGATATAGATAAAAGGGTCCCTATACAGTATTTGATCACATCGTTCTTTGCTGCTTCAATATGAGCTCGCAATGCGTGAATTTCCTATTAAGAAAATAGTCAACAACTCATAAATTGAAGCTTCTAGTTGAAGCAAATAAACAAATTCTCCGTAAATTTAGTAAAAATAAAAAACTCACTCCATCAAGCTTGTTAGTAAGGTTTGTAGTTTCCGCACTCTGATTGGAAAGCTCATCTCGGATGCGACTGAGAAAGAGATGCGTGCGATGAAAATACAATTCCAACATCAAAAGAAATGCAAACTTTAACGATAACTCAAATCCTTACCCCCTTTCAAGATTCAAATCCAAGCGCTGGCCGGCATTGACCTTGTCAATCTCATACCTGTTCAAAATGTGGGGTCTCAACTGGAAATGAAGTTCACGTGAAAAGCATATAATCGGAATAAATTAGATTAAAGACCTTAGTTCGCCACGCATTTTCTGGATATCATTCATGAGCTTTTCAGCTTCACGTTGCAACAAAGAAAAATGACGTTCCTGCAGCAAAGGTAGGCAATCGGATGAACAAAATATGACACTTCAATATAATTATCCACTAATGAAGAATTTGAATGTACGAGAACATCCAAAGAACCATGTTATGGAAATCTGCCTCCTGAGAAATGAAACATAAGTAAACTACATAGCAACATCAAATAATATTCTGAACTAGCACATTCGTGGATATTTTCACCAGTTTTCCACAGGAGTCCACAGCTAAACAATGAGCTATGAAGAGGTTAAACTTATGCATTTATAAAAACTTTCAAGTGAACCAAGTAACATTTCCACAAGTTGAGCTATCAAATGATAAGCAGAAGATTCCAAAAAAAAAAAAGGTAACTGGTAAATAAACAGTTCCAGCTCAAACTGGCATGTGAAATGGAATCAACAATCAGAAGTCAGCTATCAAACAGGAGACCTAATCTTTTTCCCAAGACCTGGCACCAAATAGAATTTATTATCCCAATTCCGCATTGTTATAAATCAGTAACGTGAGGAGTTTGTATCTTCTGCCAATATATTTTTCAAAATTTCCGACCATCTTCAATTTTGATATCCTTTTCTTTAGGGCCCAATTTAGGCCGAGCATGTTTGACTAAGCCTAAAAAAAATAAAGATACTTTTAAGTAACTTTTTGTCCACTAGCTAACATTTTTTCTTAAAATTTACTTTTTAAAAATTACTTATTTACCTAAAAGTAAACATTTTAAGCTTAGCCAAATATGGTATTAGAGTCACAACTCATTAAACAATTTGGGAGTTTCAGATCCACGGTTATACAAAGCCATATCTCTATATCCTTCTCCCTCCATTCTCCTTTCCCAACCTGTATAAATGCAAAAAAGCCACTTATGTACCACTTTTGAATTCTAAGTAGAAACTTCTTATATAACACAAGTTCCTCCTCCTGCCATGCAAGTGTAAACATCAGCAACTGACTGGACAAATGATAATGGCATGTTAGCCGAAAACTCCAAATTAGCAGGCATCCATATAAAATACAATGTATTCTAGGTCAAATTTAAATTTGTAAACAATATCTTACCTGGGAACCTTGAACTTCAGACTGAAACCTAGAAAGGTTGGCTTCTTGACGCATCTTAATCTGAGAAGAAAAAGAAAAATCATTGTGGAGGAAAGGAAAATGAATACTTTATGTTACGTTTTTCAAAACTACAATCCAATTATAAGGTATGTAATATATGATGTAATACACTCTATAAGCTCTTACTTTCTGCATCTCTGCTTTCGAAATGAGAGACTGTGAGATATTCTCCATACAGTCATCCAAAACCTCAGTCATTGCTAATGTTATTGCCTCCGCATGTTTTGAAGGTATGCCTTTTGCTTCTAAACTCCTAACCTGTCCTCGACAATAAAAATCCTACTAAGTATACAAATATGTCTTCTCTCCATAATCTAATTACCAAAATAAAGAATTATCAATTAAACCTCCAAAACCGGACTTGCTCAACATATAATGAGCAACTTTCAGTTCATGTCATCCAATATGCAGTAATTTTCACATAATGCGCACAGGGTAAACAGAAGAGAAAACTATGATGCACGCATTGATTCCAATAGACAATAGTTTATTATGCACATACATAATACAAATAGAGTTCCAAACTGTATGTTTACATTTATATGGTTATTGAAACAAATAATATGATGAATAATTGATTCAACTAATTTCACACGTCAAAATCCCCAAAAAGTTGCATCTCTGAAATATAAGAATAACCAAATCATTATTTTTTGTTTTACAATATTGCCATTGTAGTCTCAAAGTTCAGCTCTCATTTTTCTTACTCGTGAGCAACCAAACCAAAATAGAAATTATAAAAAGAAAAAATTACCAGTGCCAGCGTATCAACAAGATAAACACGTTTTCCCTTGGGCTTGACGAGCTGAGAGATCTGTCTATAGTCGAATTGGTATCCAGGCGGACTCGAGGATAACGAACTAAATGAACTGACAGAGTTTCCAGTCAATTTGAGCGCGTTTACTGCAGAATCTCTTGCTGCATTGATTCCTCGCAATCTGACCGAGTTAATCCCAGAATTGACGCCCAATTGAATCGCGCGCTTACAAGCACCCATCAATATTTTCAAAATTTTGGATAGTATCAATTATCACAAAATACTGGATTATATACAACAAACAACTGCTACAAAATGATTTATAAAATGTTAATTGGTCAAAAGTAAAAATATTGTAAAAGGGAATCAAAGAAAAATAATTGTTTCTGCGAATGACCCGAATTCCATTGAAGGGAAACGAATTTGAGAGAGAGAAAAAGAAGAGGTTAAAGAGAGAGATTTCATTGTTCAGTTTCTTGCGCAAAACGCATTAGATTTGCGAGCTTCATTTTATTTCCTTTTTATTTTTCCACTTCGAACCAGACAAACGACGTCGTTGAAAATTATAGAAGAAAAATTAAAACGGGTCACCCGTCTGCACGCCCGCACTATAAGACCACCTTTCGATCCGAACGGGCCATCAACGTTAACAATTTCTAAGCCAACTCTACCATAGGTGAACCAAAACAAGTGCGTGTGTATATGTGTGTGTATATATATATATATATATAGAATGTGTTATACATAATGCGCTGTTCACTCTCTCACATGGAGGGGGACCTACTTCAAGTATATTATATTTTATTCAAAGTGAATTTCCCTCCACGTGAGGAGGTGGACACCGCATCATGTACGTTTAGCATCACTATATATATACACTTTTCTTAAAATAAAATAAAGGTTACTTATTTTTAAATGATTCTAAAGTAACTAACTTATTTATTTTAAACCTTTAATTTGGAGGTATCACATTGAAGTTCCATAGAATTGATTGTGGAAATTACATAAAAACAGGTGTTTAAAGATCCATTTTTATAAATCATGTTTGGAAGTTATTTATTCAATTTTCAGGTTTTTATCATTTTAATTAAATAATAAAATAATTCATTTTAACACTCATCTTCCCCCTCTCTCGTCTCCCTCTCTCTATCCTCTCCCCAATTTTATTCGAACCCTAAATCGAGATTCCTCAAGGTGGTGGCGGCGTGCAGGCGATGGTGGCGGTCGCAAAGGTGGTGGTTGTGCAGGTGATGGTTGAGTTGATTTTGGGTTGCTAGCTTGCAGACGGTGGCTATCGCGAAGGTGGTGGTCGTGCAAGAGATGGTGGCACCACGTCTTGCGGAGGTGCAGCGGCTGCGATCTGTACTTTCGGAGGTGCAGCTGCTGCGATCTATTCCAGGGAAGCGTCGGAGCCTCAACACGCGGAGGTGCAGCTGCTGCGCTGCACCCTACGGCGATCTGTACTTTCCAATTGAGTCTGTCACAGATCGTCGACGATCTGAAATTTTTATAGCAGCTCTGAGGTGCATCAACTGAGTTAGATAAAATAGAAACAACTATAGCAATGTGCGGCAATTTGTTTTGTTGGATCGGCGGGGGATCTGGTAGTAGTGAGGTAGTGGTGTGGTTGATGAGGCGATGATGGCGGAGTGGAGGTGGTTGTGGCGATGGTGGTGGAGGTGTGGGCTGTGGGTGCATTTCTGTTGGAAATGTTTGGCATTTGTGACCTATAAAATAGATAATATGCAAGTGATTGGTGGTGGAGGTGGTTGTCAGTGGCTTTGTTGGTGCTGTTGTGGCTATGGCGGCGTGGTGAGGGTGGTCGAAAGTGGTCATAGTGGTCATAGTGTCGGTAGTTTATGACCAAATATTTGGTAATCTGTGATCAAATGTTTGGTAATTTGTGACCAATTACTCAACTGTGACCTAAAAATTTAATAATATGCGACTCAAAAATAATTTGTGACCAACTAATTTAAAAATCTGTGATCTCGAAATAATCTGTGACTAACTAATTAAAAAATTTGTGATCTCGAAATAATTTGTAATCAATTAATTTTAAAATATGTGACATATGACCTATAATTATGTATATGTGACCATTAATTATATAACTATGATCTTATTATATTTAATTAATAAATATTTTTAATTAATTAACTAAAAACCTGATTTTTGCATTAATCAAACTTAAAACCTGATTTTTGAATTGTGTATAATTAACACCTTACTTTTGAGCTCTTCCCGAATTGATTTTTGTTTTGAAAATGTTTAAATATGTTATTTTGTTCTTATTTAAAAGTAAGTCATGTATTTACTTTAAAATAATTCGTAACTTATTGTTAAAACAAATACTTAATCACTGAAATAACTTGCTCACTTATCGAAACTTTCTAAGCCCTTATTTGCCTCCAGACTCCCATTCTTTCATAAAAAAAAAAAAAAAATTCTACGTACTCAACACATCTATACAATTAAATATTATACCGTAAACCCAAAAAATTTCTCTACTTTTTAACTACACATTCTTAAAAAAATAACTATTTAAAACAATGTTTTCCCCCAAAAAATGGTCGCTAAACAGTGGCTATGTTTAACCAAACATGCTCAAAACACTAGAAAACAATGCCTATATCATAATTGTTCAATTCACAGACTGCATTTTGGGCTTCCCACGAAAATTCTTGCAAACTGAAGATTAGCATTAACTAACAAAAATTTTGCAACTGAACAGCAAAGGGGTTTTCAGCTTAGATGGTCTGAGGCTATAATAAAAAGTCGAAACACTAATATTAAATGACTGTACAAAATCATATATGAGCGACAGCTATGAATTCCTTTTTAGGTGTGTAGATAATCACAACGTGCCCCCTTCCTACATCTCCCATTCGCATTGTATGGACAAACTCTACCCCGCTTGTTGAAAGGTCTAGAACCTCCACTGCCAAATGATGACGGTCTGTTCCAAGAAGTCCTTCCACCACCAAAACCAGAATCCCCCATTTCCCTTTGACTGGAGAACTGACCTCCACTGTGGTTTTGATCGCCTCCCCATACACCTTGGCTCCCAGCTGGTGCACCAAAACCTTGATTCGGGTTTGCTTGTGCTAGTCCTTGAACGGGAGTTCCTGAATTTCCACTAGGTGGCCCCCACCCATTCCCAGGTACTGGTACTGGCCCTTGAACTGGAGCACTCCCCCAACCTGGAGTTGCAACCCAACCAGAATTCACATTTCCAGGAACCGGCCTTTGAACAGTAGTTCCGGGATTTCCTGAAGGACCAACCCAACCAGAAGTATTTCCCAGAGCCGGTGCTTGAACAGCCAGTCCCACATTTATATTTGTACTTCCCGGTGTGGGTGTTCCCCACCCCGCATTTGGATTTGCCTGCACATTACCCCACCCAGTGTTCGGATATTCAGGTCTCGTGCCCCAAGAAACGTTTTGTATACCAGGGGGCAGCATGTTCGGTAGAATGCCCTGAGTAGATGGTCCCCACAAATCAGGTTGCTGCGTAGCTGCAATATCTGAGTTCGAGAAATTTCCAGCAGAGTTCTGAACATCCAATGTATTGCCACCCCAACCTTGAGCCTTGCCTTGTCCAGAATGTGGACCGCTGCCCCAACTAGGAGTTTCAACATGAGGGTTCAGACTAATAGCCGAGTGAACTGAATGGACGATAGTGGGCAGATGGCCATGCATCTGTACGCTGTGTGGTTCACCACTCATGTTTGACTGAATTTGTAGAGAATCTACGGAGCCTGCAAGAACACCTTTTTCAGAATTCAATGTTGGAGAAAAAGCAGCACCAGATTGGACAGCAGAATTCAGAACTGAAGCAGGAGGAGAAGAATACTTCGCGGTGTTTGGTAAGGATGGAGAAGGTGAATGAAGCAATCCATTGCCACTGGGATATTGAGTTGCACCAAGGAGAATACCCCCGTCTTCTCCTGTCCATCCTGCATTTTTTTGTTGTGGAGTAGGAGATGGTAGGTTTGTTGAATCATTCCCAATCCAAATTTCTGTAGAATGTTTTGGGTGAGCTCTAGGGTCTTGATTAGTATTTGGTCTCTGTATATCTTGGTGCAAGGATGTTCCAGAAATTTTACCAGGGTGACTCGACGAGATACTCGGACTATGCATAATATTAATTGCTGGAAATCTATTAACTGCCGGCAGGTCTTTCTGATATTTCCCTGCCAATGCGTCACTAAGAAGAATAGGGTCTTCTTGTTCTAATGCGGTTCTCCAGATTCTCAGATCTGCAGGAAAGTATCCTGTATTGTTCCACTTATGCAACTGCGTCATAGAAAATGGTCCTTGCACCTTTCCAGAAGGATCCTTGTAATACCAAACCTTTTCAGTTTCATTTATACTGACAGCAATTTCTGCCACACTATCTGAGAGAGATACTGTTGAAGTTACGGGTGAAGCAACAGAAAGGGATTCAGATTTGGACGAGGAATTCATAGTCCATTCAACAGATTTAGATTCTTGAGCGTTCTTGTCTCTTCCTTGGTTCCGTGAATTCTCAACAACTATTTCGCCAGAATGAGCAGCATTGGTATACATACTCTTGCTCGAGAGGTTTCTTCTCGTTTCCAAATTCTTACTAGAAACATTTTCCAAGCCATTCCAAGTATCTTTCGCATTATAATCACTTCCTGGAGAGATAAGACCACTTCCTCTTCTATTAAAGCTAGAACTAGATCTCGTTAAAGAATCTGAGTGCAACAAAACAATATCAGGATTATGATTCCATAGCTGTTGCAGTAAATACTAAGTTAGAAAAAGAAAGGGAAAATTGCACTGTTGGTCCCCACCTATTGTCCCACTAGAAAGTTCATCCTCAACTTCCAAAAATGAGCAAATTGGTCCCAACCTCACATTAATGATGCACAACAAGTCCTCAACAAGGGAAGCCATTCAAATCTTCATTATTGTTGTCACATGACCTCATGAAAGCATGCCTTGTTTCAAATTTTTGGTTACCGATCTAAGTAGGAAAGCGAAAACCTAACTTCATAAAGTTTGCCACATGATGATTTAACGGAGATTTGAATATTTGTGTCACTAGGGATTAGTTGTGCAACTATAATGAAAGATTGGAGGACCAATGGACCCCTTTTGAAAGGTTGAGGACCAACGGGACAGTAGGTGAGGAACCAAATATGCAAATTTTCCATTGATAAAGACAAGATAATATAATAAACCTCGTTTAATGTTGTCAGTTTCACTGTCATCCTCATCAGACTCGTAACTTGGATCCATTTTGGGATCTCCATGTATTTCAGGAATTTCCTCTAGTCTACGATGGCGTTCGTCAGGGGTCTTCAAAAGTTGTAATTTTTCCACACACTCTCTAAGCGTGAAAATCAGTCAAGGATAACTTACATTTTCTATAGATGAGAAAATTCGCATTTTTACCTATAAGATCAAAATGAATGGTGATGATCAAACCCACATGCAACAACGATTGCCACTTGAATAATATATTATTCTCCTAGGCAGTGATTTAGAATATAATTTCTCTTCGCCATGTAATAACTATTTGACTGCAAACAACATGTTCATACTTCTGACAAGTTGAGCATTCGTATCTATAATTTAAGATAAAATATAAGCTATAAATGGAGAAATGCACTATTACCTTAACCTTACATGATGCTCAGGTGAAATGTAAAATATAAATATAAGAATAAAGCAATATAATATACTCAAGGGGGTAAAAAAAGGATATTCCTTCCTACGCCCTAAATCGCTAGCTCGATCACGAAGATGGCTAATGCGCATAACCTCTGACTCCAACCACTGCATAGCAAAATGTGAAATAAGAAAAGTACAACAGAACAGAAAACCTCATACATGCAAAACCCTATCAGTCCAGCAATATGCTAAAGAAGTCAAGTACGCAGTCCCAGTGGAATAATTACGTAATAAATTCCTTAAGAAGCACGTCTCATTATTAATATATCAATATCGCTGTCCTAAAAACTTCAATCTAACAAGAGTTCTTTCTTTCCAGTTTCCAGAAAAGAAAAATAAATCTACGAGAATATACACTTAGCCCCTGTTTGGTAGTAATTAAAATCTAGATTTTAGCCTAAGTCAAAGTCAACAATTAATTTTAATTCAACCACATATTTCATTCACTTCTATCAAAATCTACTAAAAAATCTGATTTTAATCCCAACAGAGGCTTAGTATTCTTAATTTTCAAATTATGTGTGCTATCAAAATTATACCTTCATCTTGAAAGAGAGTGGGGAAAAGTGAAAAGAAAATATCTATAAAGAAAATGCAGATACATGACAAGGTTAAAACGGTATTTCCTCCTCTCTAACTTCAGCATGGGAGAATTTGATAGGATAAAGCAGTTTTATTTTTATTACTAACAGCCAACGGTATTCTTTCCTTCTTTCTTTTTTTTTTTCTAATTTTCCTGAGTACAACTAATGTATGCAACATGTGCATTTCGGAGAAGCTAGAAATGCAAAATAGTCAACATCCTGTCATATTGGATACATGATCATTCGTGTACTAATCACTTTCATTTAGTTCATTCACTTCTAGCAAATGAAAATTAAGAAACCTAATAGTTATCAGTTTCAACCAAAAACTTTGAGAGGAGGAGATAAACATACATCATTAACTCTGGCCGCCTGTATTTCCATGGTCTTGTCAAGAATGTCACCCTACAAACATAAGGGGTTATTTTTAGTCACATCCCATGCTAAAATATGAAAACTAGAGCTGTGTGTAAAATTACCACAGTCAGCCTGTTGATGAGTCCACATTTGATACTCTGGCGTAGACGCTTGCATTCTTCCTGGCAAGGAAGTGAAGGACGTATATTTTAGTTTCAATAACTTACAAGGTTAAGACACCACAACCATAATTGCTAATTAAGCAAACAATGAAGGGAAGACGATTTAGTTTTTGCAAACAATATTAGCTACAAGAGCTGTCGTTATCATTCTATTTTGAACACTGAAAAAGAACGTGTAAAAACTAAAATTGATGCTTGGAAAAATACGCCTAAAGATTTAATACAGTTGCTGTTATTTCATGGAAAAGGCTGAATAATTCTTATTAACAAGTATTTGCATATCAAATGTGTCATTTTATCAATTCTTCATTTTATTCAAGTGCATTTCATTGACATTTGCAATTCAGAAACCAGTTGATAATTCAGTCCACTGTCAAAGCCATTCAAGTAAAACAGCTGAAAGCTAGACTAACATCTCACCCATAGAGACCAGCTGAGCTTTGACAATAAACGACAGCTAACTAGTATCTAAACAGTGCACGTGATTTGGTTAGAGCGTACATGAGGTTTTTTTTGTTCAATAAAGCATCCAGAGAATTTTCTTTAACAGAAAGAGTGGGCAAGCTTGGGTAGAAGTGCCTTTCAATGGGTGTTAGAACTTCAATGTTCAAGAGGAAAAGAAGGTTCTACAAGCTAAATTCAATCACCTCAGTGAACTCTTGATTTGAGATAGTATCAATTGATATGACCTCCGCCTTGTCTAGATTTAATATCTCCAGCATCGTATCACAATTCTTTTTGCCAATTTTATATGGCTCCGCAGCTTTGCTTGTGCCTGCCATAGAAAATAATCAGGAAAAGAAATTGTTTGTTGTCCTTGGATGGGAGAAACTTTCTATACATATCTGACAATTTAAATTCCAGAGGAAGTTAATGCACAGATACTGATAACTAGTTATTTTAGAAGAGTCAAGGTAATAAGAGAGAAGTTACAAATTAATTACCTACAACTTGCACTAGTCTATACAGGTCTTGCTTTTGACTACTACCAGAAATTCTTATCCTCACGAAAGCTCCAACAACTTTATCATGAAATTTCTCAACATCTTCGAGTAGGTCCTCCATCAACTTCCGTCGTAGGTAAATTAAGCTAATGTTGTGTGTGTCAATCGCTGCATAATCCTCAAGATTCGACTGAGGACCCCTTCTGTCACCTTTCTTGCGTGTTTTGCTTTTCCTACCTTTGACCCCCCTGGCTAGGGTGTCAGCATCACCACCAACCTCCAACTGGTTAATTTCAGTGCCGACAACACTTCCTTGAACTTCATCTGTCTTATCCTTTTTGGTAGGAAAATGAGATTCAAGAAGTTTTAACATCTCAAAATGCCCAACTCGTGGTTTTCCAAATAGATTACCAAGCCTTGAATCACAGATAATTTGACTTTTCCGGCGAGGATCACGCAGTTTGTTTTTTTTGATATATTCAAGCAAAAGAGCTTGTACATCAAACTGAGACAGTGGAGATACGTCACCATTTCTCATGTGCGAAACAAATTCAAGAAGCTCTTTTGTAGCCCATTCAGTGTCCTCGGATGAAGAAACGTTCTCATCGCCGGCTGACACACCTACACTGACGGATTCATCTTCTATGGTGAGGGATTTTGATCGTTTCTTTAGCTTTCTTCTCTTAGATTTACGGGTTTTCTGGCTCTCAATAGAGTCGCCTGAACCAGATCCTCCATCATAATCAGCATCAATCTGTGCCTCAGGTGATTCTTGTTTACTGCCTTTCCATGGATGCTTTGCCTCTGCAACTTCAACTGATGAGAGGGATAGCTTCGATTTGAGACCTATATAGTAATCCTTGAATAGATACTCCCAGCTACTTTTGTCATCAAAATCTAATTGAGCCTGTTTTGGTCAAGGAGAACCACAAAAGCACAATCAGAATGTTACCAAAAGTAAATTACCAAAATGAGAGGAAACCTAATAAGAAACTTGGTTATTGAAGGTAAATTTACAATCTAGTAACCACAAATTAAAAGTAGCAGTATAGGGTAAGAGAAAGTGAGAAGCCAAACGATACCAATGGAAAGTAACATAAATCCTAGTTGATACCTTTCCATATTAAAGTAGATCAAAATATTTGATAGTAATTAAAAAAAGACAGGTAAATTTGATGAACAAAGCAATTTTCTAGGAAACTCTTTCAATTTCACGGCAGAAAAATTAATAAAGTTTGCAGATAGATTTGTTAGATGACCAAATATTTTCATTTCTCATAAAAACTGGGTTCAGCTAACACAAAACATAAGAGTTCTCAAAGTTCGTCATAAGTTAACCTAAAAAAGTAAAAAAAACATGTCCACAGGGTTCATACTAATGTTTTCAGAAACATGCACAAGGAGGAGAAGAAATCTAGACTGAAAATAATAGTAAAGAAGCTTTTGTCAAATGGTAAGAATTTAGTCAATTCTTAGTCCAAGGAGGAGCAACTGCTTTGAGAAGTAAAAGAAAGCTCAGCTCTATTTCCTTACTTCCATCACAGAAGGACGTGCAAGCTACAATCAAACAATTAACCACAGGTTTATTCACACTTTCAGAAAGTTGAGCGTAGGGCCCCTCATACAGAACATGTACTAAATCCCTCTGGATTACAGGGCACAAAGACATCCATGAGAGCACGGGCGAAAAAAAAAAATCAATGACTGACCGTGTGTCTACCCGTCAGGATCAATATTACGTCTATGGACTGTAAGCCAAGTTTGTTGTAGGTCATATATGGCAAGTAAAACCAATTACCCATACAGAAATAAATACGAAAATCAGAAACGTATGCAATGTGTAGATTTGACCCCCTAATCCTCATGGACAAACTCTGACAGCAAGAAGCGTAGGTTTGTCAGTAATCAGTATCACATCCGTATTATGATGGCAACCACAAAACGGCTTTCGTGTGAGTAAGTGCATTGGACAGAGAGAGGGGGAGAGAGAGAGAGAGAGAGAGAGTAAACAGGAACTTTATTTTTTGGATACGAAACAAGGAGAACACGAGAGAGAATAGAAAAGAAGAGGAAAAACAAGGGACTAAAAGAAGAATAGTGTGGACAAGTTTGCCTATGCTCGTTTATTCACTTATCTTACCCTCTTCTCCAGGCGACGGTGGTTACTAAGGCGGCTCCTCTCTTTTGGCATATTAGACAATGGCAGAAGAATTTCAAAGGTGTTCTACAACAAGCAAATCGTGGTTTCCCCAAATTGTCTGTCACGAACAGAGTTGCACTAGCAAAATTGATAAATTTGAGTAATCCAATCAGCACAAATGTGGAAGTTTTGTAGTTCAATCTACATTTTGTGACTAAATTTGTCAACAGAATTAACTCGCAATAAGGAGAGTCAGTTTACTCACCCATATAACTTTACTTCTTTTCTTAGTTATTATCTACTTTGCAAACTTATTCGTATATATTATTTCTCGTCTGTTTCACGGCATGTAAAGCAAAGCTGAAACTACTTATAAAGAAAAGTTTAAAAGAAAACAGCAAGTACAACAGGTCTTAAGATTTGAAGTCCTTTTGCAAAAGATTTGTCCTAGTCCAAAAGCTTGCAAACCCACCTTAAGCTCACGAACTTGGGAGAAAAGAAAAAATTATCTCAAGAAATTGCAATTTCAATCTGAATGCCATTTCTAGTTCCCTCATAAAACATCCAAAGATGGAAGTCAACAATCATATTGGACATACCAACAATTCAAAACATATATGATATGGCTTTACTGATGACAATCCAAAAGGAAGATATATCAAGAACTTAACAAAAGAAATTGACATGAATACCACATTAATATTTAAATCATGGGGACAAATGCCATTACTAGCATTGGCAAAATAGAGTTGATAATCGCCAAACCCCAGACCAATTCCGACACAAAGGCAGGTAGGTCATGGAAGCACATACATTTTCATGTTGATTGTTCTCAATTAGCGTAACAGTTCTCATGCAGGTCTCACAAAAGCCTTTATTTCCTCGGACACAAAAGATAACAGCATCTTTAATGCAACCCCTGCATGAGGAATATGTGCATGTATAACACATATAGTGGGCATTCTTCTCACAAATGCTGCACATATGCCAACCTGAAAAACATGAAAAAAAAAATGCACATTTTATAGCAACATAAACAAAAAAATAGGCTTGAATATTTCTCACGGAATTTAGATAAAGTAACTGAAGAACTGAGGCATGCAGCGACAAAGAAAACTGGAAGAGAACAATGAAGACAGAAACTCAAAGCAATTCTTTCAATCAGTTGTTGTTAGACCATACATATCATTATACTACAAAATCTACCTAATAATATGAAGAAGAAAACGAACCACAACTCCTAAACAGTAAACAAAAGTGGAACTGTTATCTACTATACCATAACTGGATATGATTTGAGCAGAGTTCAATGGCAGGATATATCTAAATGTTGCTTTTTTAACTTAGTACAAGCTCCACCACCCCCCACCCCTACCCCCAAATTACAAATAACAACTCAGGTGCATTTAGAAAACTATGGAAGAGTAAGGTGGTTCATCATACCATGAAAGCAAACAGCTCATGTACCAAAGCAGCATATGAAAGAAATTGCTAAATTGTTGTAAGCTTAGAGTGTATGACACATTTTGTGGAACAAAATCAATTTTCATTAAGTTTTTTGAAGTTTCAGGATAGAAGGATTGAATCACAAGCATTGGAAGGTATCAAGTTGCAGGACTTTTTAGAATATAGGCTTGAGGTTGAAATTTCTCAGAAACTCTGCAATATCCAGTTAAAAAAAAAGGCATTTAACGGGCTATAGTAATATAGGACTATAATACTTTGATTTGGCAAAAATCCAAAGACTTCCTCAGAAATTCGAAAACTAATAACTGGAACAACGAACATGAAAAGACATCACTATTCAACATAGCAAGATGCACTAACGAAGGAATGGATTAGCACATTCTGGGATGGAAACAACTGCACCCTATTGCAATTAACAATAACAGTAAAATCTAATTATGTCCCTATGAATGATATGACAACAATATTCCCATGGAGGCCAATAGCAATACCGCCTACATAACAAGCCAGATTTTCCATCAAATAAACTCATAAAAAAAATGCATTACTTTATCTCCAATTTTTTGCATGTGCGTGCAGGTAAAGAGAGGCACCTACCGCAGTTCCAGCGACCCTTAGTGTTGAAGAAGGCCTCATCTCGATTTACACAAGATGGATGATACGCTTTGGGGCAACCTCTGGAAACCAACGCAAGACACAATTATTGATAAGCATTACAAACACATAAAGCCAACAAAATATTAGTTCAGAATACTGATTTTGTTTCCTTTTCAGCTTAGAATTCTGGAGGTTCAACACATTTTTTAGAACTTACCGGCGATCACATAGCACAAGGTCCCCACCATCGAAACAAATGAAACAAACGTCCTCTCCTACCTTCTTCCTAGCTGAAGCTTTTGTTGTGGCCTTACAACTTGAAGGACTTTTTGAATTCCTCACCCTCTTCCGCTTCTCTCCAGATGATTTCACCGGTTCAGCCACATCTGTTTCAGTCTCCATTTCAGTGTCCTGAGTCTCAGTGTCCTCCACGGCCATTGGTTCATCATCCCCGGATTTTATTGCAGCCAGTGGATCATTCAACTCCACACCAGGCTCATCCACATCACTCTTTGTTTCCTCTGTCTCCCTGTTTGTGTCCTCGGATGGGATCGTCTCAAACATATCATTCCTTTCCACCACCTCTGTTTCCATTTGCGAATCAGCCACTTGAATCTCCTGGACCATGTCATCCCTCGTCACTTCTATTTCCTTGTATTCCTCTGTTTCTATTTTAGTATCTCCTGCTGAAATCTCCTCTCCAGGCACTGCTTCTACCTCCTTAACTTCTGCCGCATTTGAAAGCTCAGATAACTCCGGGCCTTTCAAAACCTCCAAGCTCATATCCTTTTCCTCCTCAGTTATAGTTCCGGCCATCAAACTCTCCTCAACCACCACCCTATCTGCAGCACTCTTATCTTCAATGTCGGTGCTGAAATTTACCGTACCACCATCAGAATCGGGAACGTGCTCTCCTTCATTACAATTCACCACCTCAATTTGGGTCTTAGAATCACTTCTGTCTTCTACAGTTCCAACCAGTTTCTCACTAATCCCAACTTCTGAATCATTTACCTTATCTGTAACCTTCTCCTCGCTGCCTATACCAGCTTCCACTACTGTCTCTGAATCATTTTCAAGTATTTGGGTTCTCTCTTCCTCCAACTCTGCTCCTTCCTCTTCCTCAATGTGCTGTGCCTTGCCTCTCTTCTCCTCCATCTCAGTCACGGCTTTAGGACCCCTAACCTCCATTCCCTCTCTTTCCACTGGCGCTTCATAGGTCATGTCCATTTCCGACTGAGTATGAGGTCTCAAATCCCATGCGCCAGAACCATCCTTGCTTACATCGCCTGCCACCCCTGACACCAATTCTTCATCACCCTTCGGAGCAAGCAGTGAATCCCGGCTATCATCGCCACCTTTCATTCCTCCCACCTCACTCTCCAACACCTGAGTTTCCTCTGCCACCGCCTCTTCAGCTGTAAGCATCGACGAACCAACTCTCTCTATTACACTCTTTTCTCCACGCCCCATATCAAGCTCCGCCAACGCGTCCACTTCCAGTTCCGATCCCGCCACATCATATTTCTCTGTAACGGACTCTTCTCCGTCTTCTCCACCTTCCGCCACCGCAGGCAGCTTCTCCTCCTCCTCTACCACCACCTCATCGACCTTTTCTCCACCTACACTTAAATTCGAATCATCCAATTCAGTAAACGATTCGCGTTGCTCGGTATTTTTATTCTCTTCGTTTTCCATTTTTTCCTGTTTCATTTCAAAATTAAAGGGTTCGTCGACATTCGATAACCATCAAGAATCCGAATTGTATATTTCAAAACCCTAACCCTAGGTTCTCTGTAAGAACTATACGTAAACAACGCTATGTTTAACTGAGTTACATACACTATATATAAGAATTAACGTAATCTATTTGGCCGATTCTGGAAATAATATTACAACTGATTTCCCCGTCGTTTTGGCTCTGGGGTACCGGGTATGAAAATGTGGATGGGAACGCGTTTGATTGAGCGTTAAATGTTTATTTATATGTAAATCTACTTATAAGTTATTAATAATAAATAAAAAGTGTTATTTTTATTTATTATTAATTAAAGTTAAATAAATAAACTATTGAGACGAGTAAGGTAACTTTTTCTACTAAAAAGTAATAACCAATAAGTGAAATTTAGCCCCATTAAAATTTTAGAATTAAACTGAATGAAAATCATGCTTGATATAGGGGTTGATCGATCCCACCACATTGCATGTGGGTCCGGACCTAAATTAAAAAATGCTGACCTCCCCCATATGTCTGTGGTGTCATCGGTCATCCCCTATGTCAAACATTATGTTTGCGTAGCAAAACTTAAAATTTTAATGCATTTTTCTCTATTTTTTAAACTACGCATTATTTAATAAAATAATATTTACACGTAAATCAAAGTTTTTCCTTTTTTTTAACCAAATATTTTTCTAGAAATTATTATTCCAAAATACATTATTTTCAGAAATCTCATTATGTTCCAGTATGGTGGAGATTAAAATCAGATTTTTAGTAAATTTTGATAAAAGTTAATGAAATATGTAGTTGAAAAGTTGTCGATCCTATAAAATATGTGGTTGAAATTAATTATCAACTTTAATTTAAATTAAAATTTTAATTTTAATTTCCACCAATCAGAGGCTATAATGGGCTCAGTCATACCTTATTCATTTTTTTATTTTTATTTTTTAAGCTAGAGGATGTTTTGCTACCACATATCTGCTATTTATAGTAAAATTAAAAGTCACTTATTGCTAGAAGACAGTGCATGTCTTTTGTCCATCCGGAGTTCGTCGAGGATTTGAACTAGTCGGAGTAGTGATGGTAATTTGGGAAAATTTTACGGTCTAGATCCCTGCTTAAGACATGATGAGGTTTATATGTAATCCTTTTCAGTAAATTCTAGGATAATTTGGGAAATTGGATAATATGGTGGGTAATCAATTTAGCCCATGTTTGAGATTTTTTTTAGTGAAAATTACACCCTCCCCTGCATTTGAAAATTCAATTTCAAAAATCAGATTTGGTGTTTTAAGTTTCAAAAATCAGANAGAGTGGAAATTACACCCTCCCCTACATTTGAAAATTCAATTTCTAAAATCAGATTTGCTGTTTTAAGTTTCAAAAATCAGATATTTAAATGTATAGATACAATTTTTTTATATTTAATTAAATATTATTAAAAATATTATGAAAATTAAATTATATACACCCCACCCCAACTTAACCTAAATCCCCAACTCACCTCTCTATCTCTCATTAGTTTTCACCCGTGTGTCTCTCTCCACATTTTCGATCTGTCACCGCCCCCTCTCTCTCTCACTGCCACCACATCGTCGGCACGATACTGTCGGCACCACCTCACATATCTACAACAAACCAGATCGCGAAGCCTAATCTATCTACAACCTCTCCCCCATTGCGAAGCCATCGCCGGCAGTCGGAGACTTGGCATCCCTCCACCGTCGTGGCGCAGTCGATATCCCTCTTCTTCTCTACAACAGTCGACACCCCTCTCTCTCTACCTTTCCTGTGTGACCTTGTAAGGTCCGACGGCAAACCAGATCGGTCAGGCCAAAAGTCATCGGAGTCTTCGCTTGCGACCTAGCATACCCTGCAACTGATCAATTCAAAAAATAATTGAATTAACCAGCACCAACATTGACAGATCTGAAGTGGTGACTTGGAATTGGTGTAGACGGTGGACTCTGTTGAGAGTCTATAGAGAGAGAGACATATTAGTTTGTTTTAATTTAGCACTTTTAGTTTCTTGGGCACCATGATGGCTTGGGTGAGGTCGATTAGAGGTGGGGGGTTCCGATCAGAATGGTGGTGGTGGTGATTGTGCAGATTTTGGATTTTTGTTTTGCGGTGGTGGTGCA